TTACTAAAAAATTACGATCCTAAATGTGAGATGACCATGAGGATAGCTTTAATTACCGTGGAAGCTCAAAAAGTGTGGAAAGTTCGATAACTAATACAAGTTAATAGAGTTGTATAGCATTCGTTTGCCACATCTCATATCCAGTCTATGAGGATGAGAGTAAGCAAAGCATTAAAACCTATTGTTATTTTAATTCTATAGTCTTCAAAAGTGTTGTTGTAAATTTTTAAGACTAAGTTTATTTCATATACTCTTTACTAAAGCAGTTTTTAGTATTAAAATTTAAGTTAAAAATTTTTAATTATAAAGTTGCTTTTTGAACAGCAATAAAAAAGATTGTCTCAAACGAGAGCTATATTTGATTTTTTCTTTGATACTTTCTCAACAAGTTAAAAAAGGATACGACTATATTTTTATATCAATATTTCATTAACTTTTAAAATTTACTCTAAGGACATATGTTTGTTCTAAGGATGATATTAATTCTATCAACGACACAAGCAAAGAGCTACTACCAAATTTCAAAACAGAATTTTCCATTGCCAATAGAAGGCCAAACAAACGACAAAACATTGCTCTGTAATACAATATCAACAACCAACCTGTTCTATAAAAGGAGTCCAAGGACAATTGATAAAATGGGTTAATTGAAGATGAACCAGATGGTTTTACTGTGACTATACGCCCAGCTTACCAATGATATAAAGAGATAGTTCGTGTGAACTTATAAGTACGAGGTGCCTACAAATTTATACATTTTCGTGTTTCGCTTCAGTCTATACACGAGTTATTTAATTTTCTTAATCTTTGAATTTTGTAGCCAAGGAGGTCGGGCGAATTAAATGCAGAGAATGGAAATGGATGAGAATAAGCCAGGTTATGAGCAATACTTGTACGGCTCAGAACTTGAAATTTCAAATGTAGCAATTTTAAGTTTAATACTTTATTAAGATCATACTAAAGTTTATGCTTTGAAATTATATATGTTCTAAAATTCTTCTTCTATTATTTGTTCTTTATTTTGCTTTCATTTTCTCTTAGCTCCTACGTTTTGTTAGTCACACAGTTTTATAGTATTTATGTCATATAATCCAGTGACTTCAGAACATTTGCCCAATTGCATATCATGGATAGTAATTAATATATTGAGATGCAGTGAGAATTTGTGCAGAAAGTGCTAGTTTTTATAAAGTATGTGGTTAGACGACTAGTGTTGGCATGATGAATCAAGTTGGTATACTATGTAAATATAATTGTGAAAAGGTGCCAATTAATATTATTTAAGTAATTATATTTAATATATGTAAGATGATTAATCTATTCTTTTCACTACCATCCAAATACCATTAAGGGCTATCCATCTTAATCATAACAATCAATTTTGTAAGTTTCAACATTATCTTTTTTGTTATTTAACGGTTCAATATATAAACGCAGCAGACGTGTAAATAGTGAGTTGAATTGACAAAACCTAACTCCGAGAGCCTTGACTTCAACTGATTTTAAAGCTAATCTCAAACCGAACCAATTTGTATCAATTAGGATTTGAACATGCATGAACATATAGAAGAACAATTATGCATATCTGTTTTGGTTTTTTGTGTTGTTGGACTGAATGGTATAATAGTTAAAAGAAAACAATTATCATTCAAACTTTTAGCTTACAAAGGGAAAGGTCTTTTTCATAGGAACAGATATGCCTAGTTTTAAAGACAGAACGAACAATATCTAGTTATGATACTTAATAATTAACTAATCCTACCCAATTCTTTAACTTCACACTAAATATAGTAGTAAAATGGTAAAAAAATATCTAAAACCTAAATTTTTCCCATACCTCTATGAACCCTAGGTGGGTGTCAATTCGGGTTCACACGGGTCGGAGTAGGGTACGAATCCGAACATTGGAGATTGTCAATACCAAACTCCGACCTGTTTTTTAAAAACGGTTCAGGGTTTCTGGACCTGAATCCGACCGATTCAGGTTACGGGCAACCCACGACCCGACAAGAATGACCCGAAAATGACCTAGCAAATTGTTAGTATTCGGTCATCGAGTCAAATCCAGTCGTCATATATTCGATTAAAAATGGATGTCAAATAGCCATTTGTTTTTCCGAGTCAAATAGGATTTTCGTTCAATTTGGTCAATTTTCGATGTGTTGGCTTCAACCTTGAACCTACCATGATTTTTAAAAACGAGGTTTGGATTTTTGAAACCCGAACTCGACTGTTCTCGCGAGCGTTCTGAGCCATAACCGGATCTTTCCTGATCGGTTCGGTCGTGTCAAAAAATTGAACACCCCTAATGGACCCTATCATACATGGTGAATTCTAAGTTCGAAAAAAGATATAAGGAAACCAATATAATTCAGGAATTAGTTTGTGTGTCCATCTCAAAAAACACGAACTTATGGTCTGACGAGGCAGTGATGAGATTAATTGTCAAAACATCTATCATACACTCAAACTATATTTTGTCACTTATTTCGCTTAACACTCATGAAACTTCCTAAATACTAATCAAATCATTAGGCTTCCATAATAGAAACAGGATCGATTGACCTTACTAATAACTGTTTGTGGACCATTCATAATAGCTTGCAAAAGAAAAATGCTTAATCGTACCTAGTGGCGGAGTTCACAATTTTTTAGTTGAGGCACAAAATTAGACTTTAAACTTCTTTAATTTTTTTATCATGTTGGTCCGTAATTTATCTCCCATATAAATTTAGATAAAAATAGTAATTATTTTTAAAAATACAGGATTAACAAAATATGATGCAATGAAATAGAATCAATTTGATTAACTATAATTCTTTTTAATAAAAAACTAATATTATAATAAAAAAATTAAACAAAATTATATTGTTATTTTTCCTCTCTTTTTTTTTTTGGTGGTGTGTGGGGAGGGGGGAGGATTATTGGACAATTTAAAATCAAAATAGAAAGCCAAAACATAAATAAATAAATAAAGGAAAAAAAATGTCCATAGAAATCAAAGAAAGAAATGCATTGGAACTCTCAAAAAATGTAATATACTTTGGCCATTGAAAGTCCTGGCTTTGAATAAACTCGTCGGATTGACAACTGTCTCTAAATTAAAAATTTAGACAAAACAAAGAAACCATATAAAGGGTCAAAATCGTCTTATAAATATTACCATTGTTTCCAATTCTTTTTGGGGAGTATAAATGTGGATAGGTTTTTTTAATTTCCTTAATCATATCTTTCTTTTATTCTACTATTTTGAAGATGGGAGAGAAGTAGGCCTTATTCTTTCTTCGCTCTAAGGGCATAAATATTAATACTTAAACTCCCATATATTTACCTGTAGGAAGTAATAACACAAATATTTTTCTCATAATATATGTATCCCTAATTTCTTAAAATTAAATATCATAATTTTTTTTTCTACACTTGAAAAGAAACTGTATTCACATGATTATAAAAGTGTTATTAATTCGGTCCTAGACTTTATCTAGTCTAATGCACTAGCAAAATAGTTTAGAATCTTCGTGAATAATATTTAAGATACCCAAAACAGTTGCAAAATATTAATTATATGCATAGGTGTGTTGTTAAAAAATTAAATGTTTGATTGGATATGAATACTAAACAAGTCAAGACATCACTTAATTTTGATACTATTGTATATTAGATCTAAATAATATTATATAATTTAAGGTGTGAACTCAATTGTTCAATGGAATATTTTAATTTTAATTGAATAGAAGGAATCTTCTGCACTAGAAATATATAAACTATATCTAGATCTTTGCCTTTTAACACATTTAGCTTGACAAGCCTAGCCACCCATTATCGATGACATCGCTAAGATTGACATTTATCATCTGCCATCAATTTGCTCATGCTCGCTATTTGTCACAATGTCATATGACCTACCATTGAACTAAACTCTTGGCTAAGCCTCCATGTGCACCAACATAGAAGTTCTTTCTTAATAAACAAGTGTTTAGGCATCTTCGTCTCCCCAATAAGTTCAGTGACCCAATCGCACCACCAAGGTTTTGACTCCTCATACTTCAGTAACCATTGTATAAAATTCATTCATTCATCAAATGTTCATGCCGGAACTACTAATCCTACTAAAAGACGAATATGCCAACATTCTCATAAAGCAACCAGTCATGTCACTTCTCCGAGTTCATGTACTGTTGTTAATATAGGTGCTATAATTTGTTATTTTGAGCCAAAGCCCGCTCCTCGAGGATGAGCACTTTTGTAATCACACCATCAATAAACTCAGCATAATATTTTAACTAGTCAGACCATGTGGTATTTCCTCTTCTTCATGATTTTCCACTGTAAAATTTCTTAGAGGTCTTTTACATTTAGGCCATTTAAGGCAAACTCACACACACAACGCATACACATGGACTCGAACCTTGGACCTTTTAATTGGAAGCCTAAGCTCTCAACCAATAGGCCAAGGAGAGTTGTGTAATTAATGCTTTTATAAACAATTTTTTAATAAAAAAAGTAAAATTTTTTTACTATAAAACCATTTAAAAAAACAGTGAAAAAGCCGTCCCAAACAAAAACTTAATGATTTGGTTGAGAATTTTAACTATCAACTAAAATATTTTTGGTTCAAGTCTTATATATACAATGTGTGTGTGAATTTGTCTTTATTGATCAGATTTTACGTCTTTTTAGAGGTATGATTTATACTAGATTTATACCGGATTTGAGCTAATACTTTCAAAACTCGAACGACAAAAAATGCAAACTGAAATCTCTAAAAATATAGGCATGATTTACAATAGATTTACCCTGGATTTTTTTTTGTGCATACTAAGTGCTAAAATATTGATGTATCTAAAAATTGCTTTGATGTAAGTTGTATTAATGTTATTATTATTTTTTATAATCTCTAAAAATATAGGGACATTAATTTCTCTAGCCTACACAGAGGAAGAAATCAAGGTGCAAGAAGAATGTTAACCTGCTTTTTCTGTCCAAATACCAAAAAACACATGAATGAGATCACTAACCAGGTATTCTCCTCAACAAAAGTTTGTAAGAACTGTTTCTTACTTTGATATTTTTCCTTTCATATAAAGTAAAGAGCTTGTCTTTGAAGGTGAACACAACGAAAGGGTGGTGGGAGAGAAAGGCTAGTGAGATTGATGCAGATGAATTAGCAAAGAAGAAAGCCAAACAAGTAGCAACATGGGATGAGAAGGAATGGGTGGCTGAACCTGAGCAAGGGGTACTGATAACATTAGTGCCTCAAATTGATGGAAGTAATTATCTTAAGAAAATTCGATTCAGGTGAGAATTATAATTTAATTTTTCTTTAATTTCAAAATTGTTTGTGCTACGAAATGGATTAATTTTAAATTTTTAGAGACTTCTCATTGATTATTTTAATAGGAGAATATGGCTTCCTCAAGAACATACCTTCTTATTTATTAAACAAAAATATAGGAAAAATAAATAAATTAGAGGGATAAAATTAGTGGTTTCATCCTCCATAAAATTTTAGAGTAGTTTTAATTGTCACAAAAATACTATAATAATTGAAGTAAATGAGTTTGGAGGACAAATATATGATAATAATTTGTTTATTAAAATACGTACACTCATAAGATAAATAAATAAAATTAGATTCTAAGAGTTAGGATAAAAAAGTTATAGATTTAAGATAAAATTTTTATGTGCACAAATATTCTTAAATATTTAATACTTAATATAATATTTAATAAAATAATTGAAAATAATAATTCACAAAGTAGAGAAAATTTTATTAAGATAAAACTAATGATGATGAAGAGGATGTTTAATATAGTATTATAAATGTTATCAATGTCATTTCCAAATCTTTTTTAATACTCCATTAATTTATGTATTATAACATCTCATTATCTATTTTATGTCAAAAGTATGTGAGGAATAAAGGCTTTTACTAAAAAAATTACTACCTAAATGTGGATGACCAGTGAGGATAGCTTTAATACCGTGGAAGCTCAGAAGTGGTGGAGTGATAACTATGACAAGTTAATAGAGTTGTATAGCATTCGTTTGCCACCATCTCCATATCAGTCTGATGAGGATGAGGTAAGCAAAGCATTAAAAATCTATTGTTATTTAAATTCTATAGTCTTCAAAGTGTTGGTTATTTCATAATACTTTCTAAAGCAGTTTTTAGTATTAAAATTTTTAGTTTAAGAAATTTTTTATTAGAAAGTTGTTTTTGAAAGCAATAAAAAAGCTGTCTCAAATGAAGCCTATATTTGTTTTTTCTTTACTATTTTAGAACAAAGCTTTAAAAAGGACAACTCTATTCATATTCATATTTCATTAACTTCAAAATTTGCTCTTAGCACCTGTTTTGTTTTTAGGATGATATTAATTCTATCCAACTACAAAAGCAAAGCGCTACTACAAACTCAAATGACCTATCCATTGCAATAGAAGCAAACAACGACAAAACTATTGCTGTAATACATAATTCAACAACCTGTCTAAAAGGAGTCAAGGGTAAATTGATAAAATGGGTAATTGAAGATGAACCAGGTGTTTATGTGACTATACGCTCATTGTCAGATGATATAAAAGAGATAGTTCGTGTTGAACTTAGGTAAGATAGAGTACTACAAATTTATGACATTTCATGTTTCGCTCAGTTTATAACACGGCAGTATTTAATTTCTAATCTTTGAATTTTGTAGCCAAGAGAGGTTCGGCGAATTAAATGCAAGAGAATGGTGGGATGAGAATAAAGCCAGGTTACTGGAGCAATACTTGTAGGCTAGAACTTTGAAATTTCAAATGTAGCAATTTTAAGTTTAATTGCTTTTTAAGATCATACTAAGTTTATGCTTTGAAATATATTGTTCTAAAAATTTTCTTTATTTTTTTCTTTATTTTGCTTTCATTTTCTCTTAGCATACCTACGTTTTGTTAGTCACAAGTTTTTATATTATTTTGCATATAATCCAGGACTTCAAACATTTGCCAATTGCATATCATGGATAGTAATTAATATATTTGAGATGCATGAGAATTTGAGCACAAATGTGCTAGGTTTTTATTAAGTATGGTGGTTAGCTGACTAGTGGTTGGCATGATGAATCAGTTGGTATATATGTAATTATGTAATTGTGAAAGGTGCAATTAATATATATTAAGCTAGATATTTAATTTAATTATGTAGACATTAACTATTTCTTTTCACTTATCTCCAATACCATTAAGGGCTATCCACCTAATCATAACAATCATTTTGTAAGTTTCAATCATTATCTTTTTCGTTATTTAACGGTATCATATATAAACGCACAGACGTGTAAACAAGTTGAGTTGAGATTGAGGCAAAACTAACTCGAGAGCTTGACTCAACTGATTTTAGCTAATCTCAAACTCGAACCAATTGTATCAATTTAGGATTTGAATCATGCATGAAACAAGAATGTGATAAGAAAGAACAATTATAGTTCAATTTTTAGGCTTACAAAGGGAAGGTTATTTTCATTGGAAAGATATGCCTAGTTTTAAAGGACTAAACAAAAATATATGTTATGATACTGTATTTTAACTAATTCCTACCCAATTCTTTACTTCACACTAATATAGTAAAATGGAAAATATCTAAAACCTAAATTTTCCTACCTCATGACCCTAGGGGTGTCAATTCGGGTCAATGGGTCGGGTTAGGGTCGAACCCGGAACTGTTGGTCAATCCAAACCCGACCCGTTTTTAAAAACGGGTCAGGTTTCTGGACCTGAATCCGACCCGATTCAGGTACGGGGCAACCCGACCTGACACGAATGACCCGAAATTGACCTAAAATTGTTAGTTTTCGGGTCAAAAAGCGGGTCAATATTCGATTTTCGGGTCAAATAGGAGTTTTCGTTTTACCGAGTCAAATAGGAGTTTTCGTTTCAATTTTGGGTCATTTTCGAGTTGTTGGGTCAACCTGAACCCGACCTGATTTTTAAAACGAGTTGATTTGTTGAAACCGAACTCGACTCGTTTCGCGTCCGGGTTGACCCTAACCCGGATTTTTCCTGATCGGGTTCGGGTCGTGTCAAAAATTGACACCCCTACATGACCCTTCATACATGATTGAATTAAGTTCGAAAAAGATAATAAAGGACAACCAATATAATTCAGGAATTAGTTTTGCTGTGTCCATCTCAAAAACACGAACTTAATGGTTCTTGACAGCAGTGTGAAGATAATTGTCAAACATTATCATACACTCAAACTGATATTTGGTCACTTATTTCGTTAACTATGAAAGCTCCTAATCTAATCAAATATTAGCTTCCATTAATTATGAAAACAGGATCGGATTGACCTTTACTAATATGTTTGGTGGACCATCATAATACTTGCAAGAAAAAAATGTTATTTAATTTACTGTGGCGGAGCTACAAATTTTTTTTGTGGGGGCACAAATTAGACTTTTTAAACATTCTTTTAATTTTTTTTTTTTTTGGGGTAATTTTGGGGCATGGCCCATTTTATTAGAAATAAAAACAGAGTTCAACAATAAACAAACAAAAGCAGGAAATAAAAAGAAGAAACCAAAATTACAACCAACATTCTATAACCTATATAGAATGTAGAAAACAAAACCAGATAAAAATACACGAAACAATGATTTGAGAGAAAATAAGGATGGTAAAAAAGCAGACGATATGCTGCAAACAGTCCCAACCAAACAGAGGGAGGGAATTTCTGATCCAATGCTCCTCAAGAAAAACGAGGCAAAAGATAGGATCGAAGAAGAAGTAAGGAGAAAACATCAGCTCCTCCTACAAAGTCTTCAGTTCCAGAATCAAATGAAGTGCGGCTCACTCTAAAACCCATAGTCTGCAGTCTTCAGATTCCTCCTTCCAGTATTTGCCTCCATTCAGAAAAACGTTTATCCCTCCAACAAAAGTTTGCCCAGATGAGTTCATAATATGCAAAAGAAAAAGAAACAATAGTCAGTTAAGTAAATTAGAAAATTTTCTTTGTAACTCGTCAAAGTTCTTCCAGTTATACACTTTCAGTTTAATAGCTTTTCTGATAGAAAGGCTGCAAGTCTGAGGAGAAATCCATTTTCCAGTAAAACGTCTATTGTTCCTCTCGATCCAAAGAAAATAAACAAGAGAGTTGATAACTAGGAAAATGAAATTTTTCTCTTTAGCAGTATAATCTGGAATATGATCAAAGTGTTCCAATAATTGAATTAAAGTAGGTCTCATATAGAAATTGCTAGTATGAGGAAGTAAGTGCTTAATTACAGCAAAAGAGTAATCACACTCAAAGAATAAGTGCTTATGATTTTCATTGTGATATTTGCAAAAACAACAGGAAGAATTAATATCTAAATTTCTTCTCAATAGAATATCAGAAGTTTTAAGTTTTTCCATCAAAGCCATCCAGGAATAAACAGAAAATCTGAGAGCATGCTTTTTAAACCAGATGAATTTGTGCCATGAGACAGTATTCAGATTGCTGTAATAACTAGCCATATAAGAATGATGATTCGGTTTTGGTAAGCCATTCCAAAGCATAGCCAGTTGCTTACCAATATGAATATTAATAATTTCCTCCATCACAATTCTGGGGATATCCGAGTTAGTATTCCAGGTATTCAGAGAAATAAAATTTTTGACCAGAATAAAACTATTAGAAGGAGGATTAATGATATTGCCAATAGCCTTCCCATTGCACCAAGGGTCCCAATAAAAAGATAAGTTGTTGTCAGCAGTAATATTAAATGAAATATTTTGCTTGATGTTACCAGCCACCTCACAAATCAATTTCCACATTTTAGAAGCCTCTACCGAAGGGGATTTCCAAGGGGAAGAGTATTTTTCTTTGTACCAGTTAGCCAAGCCACTATTATAATTCATAATCCTCCAAATAAGAGAGCAAGTAAAACTATAATAAAGAGCTTTTATAGAGTGTAAGCCAAGCCCACCATTAGCTTTAGGAGTGCAAACAGTAAACCAGGCAATAGTTTGCAATCTCTTCTCTTTAGTATTACCATGAAATAAAAATCTGGAGCATAACCTCTCAATAATTTTGCAAGTATTCTTGGGTATAATGCTACCCCTAATCCAATAAGCAAGAGAGTTAGCAATAGAGAATTTGAGAAATTGAATTCTCCCCGCAAAAGACAAGAACTTCACTTTCCAACCATCCAGAAGACTAGAAATTTTATTTATAAGAGGTTGAAAGTGAGAAGCATTAATCTTATTCGTGGATATTGGTAATCCAAGGTAATTAAGGCAATGAGCAGAATTGTTTATCCCCATAATGTTGCCAATAACATCATTATGCCTTGACCGAGCAGGGAGAATAATATAGCTTTTTTGAAGATTTATGTGAAGAGCAGATGCATTACCAAAATCCTCAAGAATTAACTTGAGATTATTCACATTAATAGTGGAATTCTTACCAAAGATGAGAACATCATCAGCATAAAGTAGGTGTGTATACATATGACCATTAGAAAGAATGCCCTTAAAGTGATAATGATTATTGTCATGAAGCATATTAGAAAGGCCATCCATCACAATACTAAAGAGAAGAGGAGAAAGTGGGCAACCTTGTTTGAGCCCAGAAGTGGAATTGAAAAAACCTTCTAAAGAACCATTTAAGCAAATAGAAAATTGGATATTGTTAATACAGCCTTTAATCCAGCTTAAAAACTTCTCAGGAAAACCTTTATTCCTCATACGATTAATAACAAAATCCCTGGACACGGAGTCAAAGGCTTTAAGAATATCCAGCTTCACACAAAAACCATAATTAGAATTGTTAAAATCCTTCAAAATCTCATTTGCCAGAATAATGTTGTCCGTAGAGGACCTATTCTTAATAAAACCAGCTTGGCTCTCATGAATAATGTGAGGTAAAACATGCTTAAGTCTGTTAGCAAGAAGCTTAGCAATAATTTTATAAAAGACATTACACAGTGAAATCGGCCTATAGTCAGAAATATTGTTGGCATGAGAATTTTTGGGGATAAGAGTGATAACAGTAGCTTTTACCCCTTTGGGAAAGTGGCTATACTTCATATAATTCTTGACAGCATTACAAACTTTGATCCCAACCACTTCCCAATTGTCCTTGTAAAATTCAGCAGTAAAACCATCGGGCCCAGGAGAGGAGCCTGTGGGAAAAGAAAACACCACCTCTGTGATATCCTTATTAGAGAAAGGCTCAATCAGGAAATCAGCCGCCTCTTGAGAAAGGGTGGCTCCAATAGGAATAACAGAAGTATTAGCATGAGTAGGGGCCGGATTGTTGAACAAATTACTAAAATGATTAATCAGAGCTTGAGCAATGTCATTATGATCAGTAAGGGTACCATCAGAAGTGTTTAAAGCCTTAATAAAATTGAAATTATTCCTGCTTTTGATCTTAGCATATAAAAAACCCAAATCTTCCTCTCCAGCAGAAAACCACCTTACTTTCGCTCTTTGAGTTAACCAAGAGGACCAGGAGATATTATAATTTATAAGCTGATCATTGATGTCTTTTAAATTGGAAATGAGCATGTCATCCAATGGGTGCTTATTTATTTCATGAAATAGGTACTGTTGCTTATCCTTAAGATTATTAATGGCCTTTGCAATGTAACTATCGGAATTCCAGTTAGCCTTTTTGATAAACCTTTTTAGATTTTGTAAACTGGAATAAAGAGAGGCAATAGGACTAGAGGGAGGACAACAAAAAAAAAGCATTTAACAAAGCCTCTTTAAAACCCTCATGTCTAGACCAGTAATTTTTAAACATAAACCTG